AAAGGTCGACTTCTTCAGGTTCTAAAAATTCCTGATATTGTGGACAAGAACTCATAGCAACGACAATAATGCATAAAGATTCAATTCTTTTATAACAATTCAAAGTGCAAATTGTGTCAAAATTGGCAGAAAAAATCCAAGGATTCACATAGTGATGAATGTAACACCAATACTTTCTCAGTCTTGGCTTTTTGCTTGTATTTTAACACTTAAAAAAAGTTAGAAATCTTTTCAGTCTGTTGAGATGTCAAGTACGAACGATTGATTTACTAGTTCATTGGTTATGCTTTGCTTTCAAAACTTGCGCTAGTCTCCTGTTATTATAGCTACTGTGTTACGACTTGCGTGTGTTCAAGAGAAAGAAGCTACTCCTAACAATGAAATCTTATAATTGAAATGGTATACAACTTATGCTGTATGTACGAATGGATGTGCAATCATAATATGGAGGGTTTAAAAGAGCATCCGAATCCAGACGACATCCCTGACAAATGTCTTTTTGCTATCGCATTGCATTCTGATTTGCATGTTACCATGTTAATAAAGTGATGCTTCAATTGAAACAACAGAAGGTTTGCCATACAATTCACAGTGATGTTTGCCTCGCCGCGTTTGTTATATTAACTTTTGTTTACACAACATAACTTTTGTTATAAGTGACGAAGAAAGTTGTTCTCGTCCCAGTAGGATTCGAGCTGCTCCAGAGTGACGTCTTGAGGAGGTGCACACCAGTGTTACAGGCTGGTGAAATCCTTTCGAAGAAGATGTCGAAGACAGTGCTTTGTGTTGTTACCTGGCTGGCTATGCTTGCCTATGACCTCAATGCAGCCCCAGGTATCATTTTGTAATGTCCATTCAATTGATTTAACCTCTATGTCTATTAAAGATTGTGCATCTAAATACGCAGTTTACAGTAATGACGTTATATAAATTCTAAAGTTCAAAAATATTTTTAGTAATTTGTATAAAAAGACTTTTGTAGAGAACATTTTTAACCTACTGTTGTAAATCAAATCACATTTTAGCAATTGCATGATCAAGGACAACTCGTAGATTTTGGTTAACTTTAACCAGCATGTTATCAGTATAACTTTCTAGGAAGTTTAAAAAATCTAGCAAACATGCACCTTTGCCAGCTACTGTAGTGATAATTCGAAGACAAGTAAAGAGAAATTCTCTTTAATTATCTGCCGAAATTCGCTCCTTTGCTAAGAGCCTATCAGGTATTTTTAGAAATTTTTAGCAATGTCTAAAGCAAACTAGGATTACATGTTCTAAAAGAGTGTCGCCATGGTATATATATCTTTTTCATAATTGCCGAGTTAAATACTTAGAATGATGGTGATGAAAAATAATAGAACGATGACCTGTTCAACGCGTATTTTCCTTGCAAGATTCTTGCCAGACTATTCTTGCCAGACTATTCTTGCCAGACTATTCTTGCCAGACTATTCTTGCCAGACTATTCTTGCCAGACTATTCTTGCCAGACTATTCTTGCCAGACTATTCTTGCCAGACTATTCTTGCCAGACTATTCTTGTCAGACAATTCTTGCCAGACTATTGACGACGTTTATTCAATGTGTTTCGGGCAGTTAGCTTGTCTCATCTTCATAGGACTTGCGAATATTTTAAGTAGCAAGTGATGATAGCTTTTTTTAAGTAAACAAGGAGCAGGACGGTGACTATGATAGCTCCTTGAGGAACATCGAAGGCTTCTCTGCCTATGTGTTACAACCTCCAGCTGCAACATTTATTCAAAAACTATCCTGTTGGCATTTTTTTCTATTTTTAGCAAATCAAGGCAGTGATAAGAGTGTTTACGACGCAATTGAAAAAATCAATCAGAGTATGTGAATAAATTATACATCATATTCATCATAAATTATTTACGTTAACTCTTAAAAGCATTCTGATTACATTTCCTGAGTAAGTAACAACATAATCTTTACATAATAGTCTCTATGTATGATACTTCCTTGAGATAAAAGAAGATAATTCTGTTGCAGAGCTAAATCTACTTTTCAAGTAAGAAAGTCAGTTGTATTTGCATTTTACAGAATACTAATAGATGCTTTGTTGTGCATTGAATTCGAAGGCAAATTGATAAAACCTGTCGACAATTATCTTTCATGCTTTCACTATAATATTTTGAAGTAAGAAGATTAGATGAACATCATATTTCTTTAAAAGCTTTATCCCCGCAAGAAGCAAACCTGAAATCCTTTGATACCTGAAATGACAGTAATGTTTATTTACTTCTTCTTCTTCCCACCCGGCAAGATTTTCGGTAAATTATCGTGAGAAAAGCTCTATTTGTTCGACATGCTATTGAAAAAGGCTCCTTGAATAAAATTTAAAAAAATTATTTGCTTACTCGATTGAAGTCATAGTCTCGCATTCATCTTCTTACTTCACGTTTTTAGCATCTTTTGCCTTGCAGAGAAAACTGGTCTCTTTGAAGGTGATATTTTGCCAAGTGAATTGGTCGATGAGATCACAAGCAAAGTTTCAACAAGAAAAAGAGACGCTACAAGATTCCGACATTATCTATGGAGGACAAGAATTATCCCTTTTACAATCTCATCTGAATTTGGTTCGTGTGTTTTGATAAGTTCAAAATGCCTGTCACTTAACCTTTGCAAAAGGAAAGCTTTCACAGCCTCGATTAATCTGAATTTTGACAA